CACACACACACACAATTCAGGGCATTCTTGAATATTATGAAAGAGGACCTCAAAATGACAAAATAAGCACCATAAAAGTGGTAGTGATAGCTTTGTGTGAAGAATAGATAATTTAACTCATTACTCACTGAAAATCTAGACATTTAAAATAAAATAAAATAAAATAAAATAAAATAAAATAAAATAAAATAAAAAAATAATTGGCACTTTCTGAGAGATCATGATGTAAGTAACAATGTCTAATTTATGGGGGGGGAAAAAAATCATTGATATTATTCACTTTCAGGAATAGCTGGTCTAAATGATTCATTCATGTATCAATTTAATCGGGTTATTAATGTGGTTAATCAATCTCAATTAATCAATGATTGATACTTAACAGCCCACAAAATTAGAAGATTAGCCACGAAGAACTTATTTGAATTCATGTACTACTTTAAATCCAAAATGGTTCCTTTACTACAGTTAAGACATGTCAGCACCATTATTACATATTATTTTAAAGAAAAAAATTAAGAAAGAAAGAAAGAAAGAAAGAAAGAAAGAAAGAAAGAAAGAAAGAAAAAGAAAGATCAGACATACAGGCAGGAGGCAGGAGAAGAAAGGGAGAGGTCAAAGGGGTGTTGGTTAGTGAGTATACTTCAGTTCTGTTACAGTTGGATGAAATATGACAGGTGATTTATACTCTCATTTAATACTGCACTTACAATGGAAGGGTCTGGCTGCAGGCAGGGTGACCTTAAGACTGCCTGTCCAAAGAAAGAACAGTAGGCAGAACCGGTCATTTCATTATTGTGCCATCAATGTGCAAAGGCAGGGAGAACTTTGCCAACAGATTTGCATAATATAGAAAAACTAAAAACTAAAAATAAATAACACAGAATATAAAATAAAATAAAAATGTCTTCCCATGCCATCAGCTTATAAATCATATCCATCAGTGAAACCTATAAGCAGCAAGGCAAAAAATATAACAAGATTTGTTAATATTTTGTTGCTTGTAATCGGAGACAATGTCTTTAATCTAATTATTTGTGATCACTCTGCCCATTCGTACTGATCCATCAGAGAACAACTGAAGAGGAAAAACTGGGCACAGAGAACGCGAGCCTGAATTAATTGCTCCGATGTTCAAAAGAAGTGAAAGGAAATGAATAGAGGTGCATCGGCGGGGTGTGGGCTGTGTCGGGACACTATGGCCCTCTTTCTACAGGTAGCGATGGCTGGCTGTGTGGTTGCCAAGTTACAGACAGAGCAGGGCGTCAAAGTAAATAAAAGTGCAGAGGGACACACTCGCATAAACCTGCACACACACATACAGTGAAAAGACATCTTACTCCCCTCAAACATTGCAGATCACATAGGGATTTGGCTGTTATTTCCAGCTGTGAAGGGGACACCAGAGAGTATAAAGCAACAGAAACCACCACAGATGACTAACAGGTACATAACTCTAAATCACATTTGATTGACTTTGGAACAATACATCTGTTTATTTTTAAAAGAAGGTACCCAGAAGCGCAGAAAGTGCATTTTCCTTTCAAAAGATTTAAGTAAAATACAAACTTAAAAATCAAGAGCATATTTTCAAAATTAATTTAAATAAAAAAAAAATTACATTTTGAGGAAAAACTGTTTCTAAATTAAACCCTTTGGCACGCTTTGCTTTTTCCGCCTGCTGTGACATATTTCACATAGTTGTTCTGTCTGTTTTTTTTTTTCTGTTGGAACCACCAGTGCAGATATTTAATGCACACATGGTGATGACAAGCACAGACAAAAACTAGGGCTGCATGAAGACGTAAACCAGCATATGTTGGCTTAATTCTGTAATAAAGTGCCCTAGGGATGACATATTTTTGTAGGCCAGCCTAAAAGTAAGCATCACCCTGGTTCCCTTGACAAAAAGTTAATAGCTTTGTTTTGTTCATCAATATGATCTTCACAAATGAACACACTTTAATGAAAATTCAATACATTTTTATGAATTTAAGACTAAATGCAATCGCCAAAGGTAAAAAGTTAAAGGTAGGCTATAAACAAACTACATCAACTTCAACGCTGAAGTCAAAACTGTTTAAAAAAAAAAATAAATAAATAAAAAATAAAAATAAAAAAACCTAAAGACAACTCTCCCAATCTTCATTTAAATCTACAAGTTTGAGAACAATTTGCAAGAGCAGAGGCACTATATAAACACAACAAGGCTGTAAAGCATACTAGTGAGTAGATGAGTTTTCCTGGTCAGCATGACATTGTCCAAAACATCTTATTTGGCCACTTATTAGAAACCACCTTTTTCTGTTAAAAAGTAAGGTATTACTGATGTACTTTATTTTGCAGAATAAAACGTGAAACTATATTGAGCTTGTGTTAACCACAGACCTTGTAGGCCAAAAAAGAAACATTGACTTCAATGACTTTGAGACGATGGCACTTTATTAATAATATAAAACTGAAAATTGCCTTCTTAAATATGGTTCAGTGGGCTTCAATGGTATTTACATAAATATAGAAGCATAAAAATTATATATATATATATATATATA